GACTCACCGCAGAGGGATTACGAAGAGGCGGTCGTGTGGGACAGGAGGCCCGGAGATGGCCAGCTTGGCCGCAGTAGAGACAGAGATGTTGAGTGATTCGGCGCTCTCGCTCCTCTGGAGACAGGTGAGTGTATCCGAGCTGCATGGGTTCCACAGAAGAGGAGGAAGAAGAAGTGATTGGAACCGAATGACTGGTAGGTATCGTTCTGGTAGGGCGACGAGAACGAATCAAATTGTCAATTTGAATAGCCAGTTCTATGAATTGGTTGAGCGTTCTCCCCTCGTCCCTGCAAGCTAGTTCCGATTGGAGTTCAGGGTTGAGTCCCTTGCGGAAAAGCAGTTTCAACGTGCTTTCAACCCAATCAGTCTGAGCGGCGAGGGTGCGAAATGACAAGGCGTACTCAGCTGCGGTATTTCTGCCCTGAGATAAGGCGAGCAATTGTTCGTCCGCATCTTTACCTCCTTCAGGATGTTCGAATATTTCTCGGAAGCGTCGAAGAAAAGTACTAAATGTGGGGAAAGCTGATCCATCCTCCCTCCATACTGCCGTGGCCCACTCCAAAGCCTTCCCAGTTAGGAGTGAACATACAAAGGAGATCTTGCTGATATCAGTGGTGTACATCGCAGGCTGTTGGTTGACAAACAAGGAGCATTGCAACAGAAATCCCTTACACTTCGTGGGGTTTCCGTCGAATTTGTCTGGAAGAGCCAGGCGAGGATTCATCGAGGGAGTGGAAGAGAATGACGTGTCCATGCTCGGCTGATTAAGCGCTGATTCCGGAGATGAAAGGCGCATACTCCGCAGCGCGTTAACAAGCTCCTCAGATAGTGTTGTCAGTCGAGCCAGCTGGTGTTGATGAGCAGCGAGTTGATTTGCCTGAGCTGATACTTCCGTAGTAAGTTGAGCCAACAACTGTAACGAGACGTCAAGAGAGTGAGGATCCATCTGCAGCTTTATTGAAATCGTAATCAACAGGCAAGGTCAAACACCAGCAAACACAACAGAGGAGAGAAGCCAAATCGTTAGTCGGGGACGTGCAAAAGGGTCGGGGCAGGCAGCAAACAATCAATAGTCAAAGAACAATAGCAAGAGTTCGGGAATAAACAGAGAGGCCAGACACGGAAAGAAACGCTCAGAAATGTATACCGGGACAATACAAGACTTCGCAATGAGGGAGAGTCTGAGAGCTGGTTAAATAGTCCACTTAACGAGAGTCAGGTGCAGGAGCAATCAGAGCCAGGTATGTGAGTGTGTGTGTGTGTGTGTGTAGTCCGGATAAAGTTCAAAACTCGGGAGAGAGCTCCCTCTGGTGGTGAGCGGGAGGCACGACGGGAGTCTCGTTTGTGACATTTATGTTATACAATTAATAAAAAAATACACAATACACAAATAACACTGAATAATTATTTAATAAATTATATTAATTAAACAAATTAAGGTTCAATAAATTAGATCATTTTATATATATAAATATACACACACATATTATGTAATTAAATAATCAACTAATATTGGATAATATTGAATATTTAAATGTAATAAAGAAATATACAGTAAATGTTAGTATAAATGTACACGTTTATAAATACAATAAACAAAAAATGAGCACAATGAATGATTGTTTAGTATACAAGCAGTATGCCTTACGACATGTGGAGAATATATTTTATATTTAGAAAAATGGCACCGGGCTGGATTTTGTCCCACAGCCTTACAAAACCATAATTCATTCTTGCTTTTCACAAGCATATGACAAAATTCAGTTTTCTCAAGTTTGTTTCGAGTTCATGTAACCGGAAAAGCAATAATGGGTGGTTTTTAGTCCACGTCTGTTAGTTTGAGGTCACTACCATTCAAGCAAACTCATCTTTTAGCAGACTTCCACTTACAAAATGTAGTTTCTTTCTTTTGAATATAAATGGAATTCTGCACTCATGGGCAAATTTTCACCTAATCAAATGCTTTCTAGAATGAGAATGCCCCTCCCCCAACCTCCTGCCTCTGACTAACATAAACAAACAGCCAATCACAATTCTCTGGCTATTTAAACTGGGGAAGATGCTTTTACTTGTCGTTTCAACATATTAAATGGTTTCAAGAGGTCTTTAAGACATTTAACAAAAGCAAAACCTTAGTTAAAAGCAACAGACTTGGCGTTCCGTTCTTTAAGCCACTCCATCAGTACCTTGGCACCTGCGAGACTATACAGAACGTGATCCTCCATTAGCATAAGAATCCAGCGCTCTGAATAATATTAATCACGCCTGCCAATCCTCAGCGCTGCAATTATGCCATGCTGTTTATTTAGTGTGACTGGAATACGTCGAGCCATTAGCATAGCAGATGAGCGCGCTCTGTAATTAGTTTATGACAATGAGATGCCACAAACCTCGAAACAGATCAATTTCCGCAGTAGAGACAGAGATGTTGAGTGATTCGGCGCTCTCGCTCCTCTGGAGACAGGTGAGTGTATCCGAGCTGCATGGGTTCCACAGAAGAGGAGGAAGAAGAAGTGATTGGAACCGAATGACTGGTAGGTATCGTTCTGGTAGGGCGACGAGAACGAATCAAATTGTCAATTTGAATAGCCAGTTCTATGAATTGGTTGAGCGTTCTCCCCTCGTCCCTGCAAGCTAGTTCCGATTGGAGTTCAGGGCTGAGTCCCTTGCGGAAAAGCAGTTTCAACGTGCTCTCAACCCAATCAGTCCGAGCGGCGAGGGTGCGAAATGACAAGGCGTACTCAGCTGCGGTATTTCTGCCCTGAGATAAGGCGAGCAATTGTTCATCCGCATCTTTACCTCCTTCAGGATGTTCGAATATTTCTCGGAAGCGTCGAAGAAAAGTACTAAATGTGGGGAAAGCTGATCCATCCTCCCTCCATACTGCCGTGGCCCACTCCAAAGCCTTCCCAGTTAGGAGTGAACATACAAAGGAGATCTTGCTGATATCAGTGGTGTACATCGCAGGCTGTTGGTTGACAAACAAGGAGCATTGCAACAGAAATCCCTTACACTTCGTGGGGTTTCCGTCGAATTTGTCTGGAAGAGCCAGGCGAGGATTCATCGAGGGAGTGGAAGAGAATGACGTGTCCATGCTCGGCTGATTAAGCGCTGATTCCGGAGATGAAAGGCGCATACTCCGCAGCGCGTTAACAAGCTCCTCAGATAGTGTTGTCAGTCGAGCCAGCTGGTGTTGATGAGCAGCGAGTTGATTTGCCTGAGCTGATACTTCCGTAGTAAGTTGAGCCAACAACTGTAACGAGACGTCAAGAGAGTGAGGATCCATCTGCAGCTTTATTGAAATCGTAATCAACAGGCAAGGTCAAACACCAGCAAACACAACAGAGGAGAGAAGCCAAATCGTTAGTCGGGGACGTGCAAAAGGGTCGGGGCAGGCAGCAAACAATCAGTAGTCAAAGAACAATAGCAAGAGTTCGGGAATAAACAGAGAGGCCAGACACGGAAAGAAACGCTCAGAAATGTATACCGGGACAATACAAGACTTCGCAATGAGGGAGAGTCTGAGAGCTGGTTAAATAGTCCACTTAACGAGAGTCAGGTGCAGGAGCAATCAGAGCCAGGTATGTGAGTGTGTGTGTGTGTGTAGTCCGGATAAAGTTCAAAACTCGGGAGAGAGCTCCCTCTGGTGGTGAGCGGGAGGCACGACGGGAGTCTCGTTTGTGACATTTATGTTATACAATTAATAAAAAAATACACAATACACAAATAACACTGAATAATTATTTAATAAATTATATTAATTAAACAAATTAAGGTTCAATAAATTAGATCATTTTATATATATAAATATACACACACATATTATGTAATTAAATAATCAACTAATATTGGATAATATTGAATATTTAAATGTAATAAAGAAATATACAGTAAATGTTAGTATAAATGTACACGTTTATAAATACAATAAACAAAAAATGAGCACAATGAATGATTGTTTAGTATACAAGCAGTATGCCTTACGACATGTGGAGAATATATTTTATATTTAGAAAAATGGCACCGGGCTGGATTTTGTCCCACAGCCTTACAAAACCATAATTCATTCTTGCTTTTCACAAGCATATGACAAAATTCAGTTTTCTCAAGTTTGTTTCGAGTTCATGTAACCGGAAAAGCAATAATGGGTGGTTTGTGGCTTTTAGTCCACGTCTGTTAGTTTTGAGGTCAAAGCCATGCGAGCGAAATCATTCTTCAGCAGATTTCCACATATAAAATGTAGTTTCTTTCTTTTAAATATTAATGACATTCTGCACTTAAGGGCATATGCAAATTTTTATCCAATCAAATGCTTTCTAGAATGAGAATGCCCCTCCCCCAACCTCCTGCCTCTGACTAACATAAACAAACAGCCAATCACAATTCTCTGGCTATTTAAACTGGGGAAGATGCTTTTACTTGTCGTTTCAACATATTAAATGGTTTCAAGAGGTCTTTAAGACATTTAACAAAAGCAAAACCTTAGTTAAAAGCAACAGACTTGGCGTTCCGTTCTTTAAGCCACTCCATCAGTACCTTGGCACCTGCGAGACTATACAGAACGTGATCCTCCATTAGCATAAGAATCCAGCGCTCTGAATAATATTAATCACGCCTGCCAATCCTCAGCGCTGCAATTATGCCATGCTGTTTATTTAGTGTGACTGGAATACGTCGAGCCATTAGCATAGCAGATGAGCGCGCTCTGTAATTAGTTTATGACAATGAGATGCCACAAACCTCGAAACAGATCAATTTGAGTAATGTGTAATGTCATTAAGAGGAAAACACTGGTTGCTACAAGAAACCCATATGCTTTTTAAAGCGAGGACTATTCATCATGGTAATTTTGTCATTGTTTTAGTTAAGGTGACACTATTTGCATCTTGCCTCCACTCAGCACCTGTTTGCCGATTAGCTCAAGAGCGTTAATTTAAACGGGAACTCGGGCTTAATGAGGAAAACTGATGAGGTTCTCGTTGCCAGTTACATCATTGGGATCATCAGTAATATTATGTACATGTCAATTTGCACAGAATTAGATGGACTAGGTGGTCAAAAGTGTGACATCCGAAGCTCCAAACCAAGTTTTAAGAAACAAAACAGACCCGTATGGAGGGAAAATTTAGTGGTCATCTCATTAAATGATGTCTCATTGGCGATGAGTAAAAAACCCTTTGCCAAGACCTCTGAGCCGGTGTGTGCTTCTGGACTGCATCTATTCAGACTTGGAAACGAAACGGATGAGCTTGTTAGCACAGATGAAAACACCCACTAATGAAGTCCAGTCCGAAGGGAAACTTTAGACGGATAAACCAGAAAAGGTTGCAGAACAAGGCGGAATTGAGTCATCTATGTCAGATATCTACTAGTTTTGCTTCAAGGCCAAGATTTTAGACCAAGACCAAGAAGTGATCCAACACTAGGGCTAGATATTGACAGATTTCACAAATCGTTTCAATACCGATTCACAAGCTCTTGATTCGATTTAATATTGATTTTGGATATATATCAGGTACGGTTCATGTCAATTTTTCCTAAGGAAAACAATCTCTCAGCTAAAGCTGTAAACTATAGAGGCAGTCAGTAGGTACAATATACTTATATTTTTTTCTTAAACTGTTAGTGATGTCTTATTTAATGCATGTTTGAATAA